TTAATCAAATCATATTCTTAATGTGTCCAATAACCCAAAGCTAAAATTGTTATTTTTGGTTATTAATTTGGTAAATTCATCCAAATTTGAACTTAAAATAAACTGTGTTTGAATAGTTTTTAGATTTTTTTGCAGCAACAAACATATTTTATTACCATAGGCTACTCCGTGACCAGTATGTGATTCATTGTTAAGTACTCTCCACTGACCGTGCCAATTTTGCATACATCTATATGTTGGGTTAATTCTACTATTCACAAAATCTTCAATAGGTTTATTTGACATTGCTAAAATACTCTCATGATAACATCTATTAATAATAAAAAGTATATAATAACAAAGTATATAATTCTAGAGGCAGTTCTTCAGTTTAGAAGTTTATTTTAAAAAATACACTTTCAGAAAACACAGACAAGTACATTTTTGTATTTAACCAACTAACCAAGTCAGCATATTGATWACAGTTTGTTCTATTTTTAGTTTGTCTATTGTTGTTATTTATATGGAGTGAGTGCAACATTTTTGGGTTATTTCATTTTTTTTTTTTTTAAATTACCTGGTTTGTATCGACCGTGCATTATAAAAAGTTTCCATATACTTTGTATATGGTGTTCCTATATGTATCACTGTGTAGACGTGTAGTATAACTGTAGACTGTAGTATCAGACTTCAGTAACTTCAGTGCAAACGGGTGTAAACTGTAGAAGACGTGTTAAAATATAAAACCACTCAAATAACTCGTTATCCCAACTTCGAAAATATATTTGGTTATTTTGGTCTTCAATGAGCATGGTTGTAGTGATRTACCCATCGAAATAGACAAACAATACTATTTATATTGTATTGTTTATCTATCTCGATGGATATACTCCTATAATATACTGACTCCTATCAAGATAATATTCTGATGTTATTATAAATATGTATTTATTAAGAAGTACCTATATTTGCTATWTATTCGCTATWTATAAACTTACATTGGATATAATATATTTTTTAACGGCGGACTACGTAGGTTAGGGCGTAYRGTATCTCACCTTGAGCCCAATGAAATTCCCATGCGGAATTTTTTTCGATATTCAAGGTTGGTAACAAAACATTTTCCTTATCACGATTGGGATAACTGTACCCAGCCCGTTTGAACGACCGGCAGCGTCGTCCATACAGTAAAATATTAATATATTGGGTAATTTATTTTTAAAATTAACAGCATTGTCGGGTGCTTATCGCTATTATCGAAATATTAATTCTATTCATTTCTATTTTCTACTGTGACCTGCGACTAGTCGGATGTATATTGTTGTCATACACTCATACGAGTCATACGTATTGTGAGTATAAAATATATTGTTTTTAATTTTAATTAGTTCATTAGTTCAACATGTCAAATTCTATTCATAATTTAATAAATATTAAATTTTCTTCATTAWCGTTTRAACAAAAAWTAACAATAAAAAATGATGGAAGGCCTTTACCAGAATTAAAAGATTTAAAGACTAAATAAAAAAAAGGAAAAAGTGAATATTTTCAGGATTTTAATCCAGCATTATATCTCAAGAATAAATGGTTATGTGGATGTAAAATAAAACAAGCTCTTTTCTGTTTTCCTTGTATACTTTTTGGTGGTGAAACAGATATACCTAACTAAAATAGGAGTCACTGATTTGCAACATCTAAATGCAAAAATTATTAAACATGAAAATTTATTCAAACATATTCACAATGCGACAAACTTGAATTTGTTAGGCAAAGTTAATATAAGACATCAAATTGATATTGGTTATAAAATAGGTATCCAACGCCATAACGAGTTAGTAGACAAAAATCGCTATATTCTAGATAAAATTCTAAATTGTATTAAATGTTGTGGTAAACACAAATTACCACTTAGAGGTCATGATGAAAACACATCTTCRAAAAATCAGGGCGTTTTTCGCGGAATTCTTGACCTTTSTACTGATTTAAACTCTAGTTAGCGTGATCATTTTGAAAAATCTACTGTTTTTAGAGGAACTTCAAAAACAATTCAAAATGATTTGTTGGATTCTATTCTATCAGTATGTCGAAATAAAATAGTAAATGCAATTCAACAGTCAGAATTTATTTCCATAATTGTTGATGAAACAACTGATATTTCAAATATCTTTCAGTTGGTTCTTATACTTAGATACGAAGTACAAGGTCGACCTGTTGAGCGGTTTTGGGGTTTTGAGAAWCCGAATGGACATAATGCCGAAGCATTATCGCAAACTATCTTTGGCTTAATTGATCTACTTCTAGAAAAACCACCTAATAAATTCATAGCTCAGTCATACGATGGTGCAGCGGTTATGAGTGGCCAAAAAGCTGGTGTTAATGTGAAGATAAAAGAACAGTRCCCATTCGCCTTTTTTATTCACTGCTATGCTCACCAATTAAATCTCATAATGATACAATCAATTTCAAAAAATAAGCAGGTTCGTATATTTTTTTCCAATTTATCGGAAATACCAGTGTTTTTTTCTCATTCACCACAGAGGGTATCAGTGTCAGACGAAGTGGTCGGTGTTCGTTTGCCAAGAACAGTACAGACTAGATGGAATTTTAATGTAAGAACCGTTAATACTGTTTTTGAACACAGAAAAGACTTGATAATTTATATGGATAAAATAATTGAAATATCTTTACAAACTAAAACAATTAATCAAGCCACTGGTATTAAAAGGCTTCTAGAAGATACCGATTTTATATTTTGGTTGAATATATTTCATAAAATTATGCCACATGTTGATTGTTTATATAGTTCTGTCCAAGCTAGAAAAACAGACCCTGTTTAAGTAAATAACTCGGTAAAATTATTTATAAGTGAAATAAATAAAATTCGTGAAAATATGTCATCAATTTATATAACAGTTTTAAACCAATCGGACTTACCACATTCAAATAAAAGAAAAACTAGYGAAGACCCAAATATTACGAAAAGAATTATTGCTTTAGAAGTATGTGATGTTTTAATAAGTCAAGAAAAAAGTCGTTTTAGTTTCAACGAACATCTAACTACAGCGTTGCTTTTTCAAAACGAATATCACCCAAAATTTAACAACAAATTCCCAATTGATTATTTACAAAAAACTATACATTGCTATCCTTTCTTTATAAAAGAACGTTTAAGAACTGAACTTGACGTTATTTMTAGCCGTGATGATTTTTTCGGTAATTAAAAGGAATTATTCCTACGATTAACTATATAATATCAAATAATATGAACGATTTATTTAAGGAAGTACTGAAATTACTTAAACTGTTGGCTGTCATTCCGATGACATTGTCAGAAGCTGAACGTGGATTTACAACGTTAAAAAGAATTAAAACTTGTTTGCGAAGCACCATGTGAGAAGACAGACTAACCGCTTTATCTATTCTTAGTATTGAAAGTGAAATGATTGCAGAAGATATAGAATTCGATAAAAAAGTCATCGAACATTTTTCATCAACAAAAAACAGGCGGATGGATTTTATTCATAAAATAACTCCATAAATTAATTATTTTCAAATAAAAAAAAATATATCATGACAATTTTATGAATAAAGTAATAATAAAATAATAATACGTGTATTGTGTGTAATTTTATTATAATATAATATATATATTAATTATTTTATATAAAAATATCCAAAATATAATTTACAATTAATTATACCTGTGATTAGCGGTATTATACTATTTGAAGTCGTGCCCCCACCATCAGCACCCACGAGCCGCCACTGGTAATACTTTTATTGACCTAATATTTAATAATCAAAACTGCATATTATTCATTGTTCTCTAATTGTACTATTTTTTTTCCTTTCCTGTGTTAATTGTTTTATTATTGATGTTTATACTTTCGTAATTTAAAAAAAAAAAACAAAAAATGTTATTATCATACCTTTCGGTTATTGACTTATTGCAACATATTTCTCATTTCAATATGAAATAGTTCAACAAATTGTTAAATTTTTGGCGTGTAAGAAAATTGCTATAATTATATATTTATAAGTAGGTAGGTATTATCGTTATTTTATATCTTTAACAACATTTTATTATTTGTATACAAGAATAATGTGAAATTTGACTTATATTGAAAATTTATATATATATTTTTTTTTATTTATCATTTGTAATTACTAATTATGTTTTCATATATTTACTTTTACCTGCCCTAACAACACAAGTAAGTTCTAAGGACATATTAAGTATGTCCCTTCAGAAACAACAGGAACTTCCTGGGCTGTGCCATTTTAAGTCTTAGGCTGTAAATGGGACGTCCACGGGCTATTGATTGTAATTACGAATGTCCGCCTCCCGAGGACTTCCGGAAATGACTTGAATAGGAACTATTTCATTATCGGGCCAGTAGGCTTCCAAAATAGGTCCCATAACGTGATATGACGGAGGATAAAAAAAGATATCGAAAAAAATGCAAAAATTTAAGGGTGACCGTGCATTCCTTATGGAAACACATGTTATTCATAGCAGTGGAGCCRTGATTAGAAACATCTACCTACAACTAAATKGGACCTAACCTAACCACTACCTACGCCAACCTAACTGATATGAAATATATCTATAGTGACAAAACTCGACCACTTAAAGCATGACGCAAGGGCGTATTTGTGAGGGGAAGGGGTGGCGAAGGGGATTCATCCCCCTCCCATCACTCATATTGTTTCTTTATAACACATCGAAATAATATATACCTATATATATTTATACAAGGCCGTATCCAGGATTTTTTTTCGGGGGTAGTCAAACCTGTCATATTTATGTAGCCGGTACTATAAATAAATAGTTATTTTAAACATTTGTTAACTATTGAAGAAATGATGGGCCCTTATGCRACGTTGATTTTTGGCATTATTTATATCAGTATCAGTATTTACATCACTATAGTTTTCTGCAATTTGTAATTTTTTTACAGCCTTTTCAAATACATCTGTAAAACCATTCATCACAAAAGGCAAATGTTTATTAACAATTATTATGTACACTATTATCAACATATCTTTAATATGGATTAATAATTAAAGTTTATAACTAGATAATGTTAACCCATATGAGAAAAACATAAAATCATAAAATATGTCTTATGGCATGCCAAAAAAAAGTGGCATTCTATTGGATATTTTTTACTCCACGACATAAGACATTAATCTCAAAAAAAAAAAAAAAATACTAACCATCAGAACCATAGATTTTTATAAAACTGTGTAGTGACCATTTACATTTTTCTGGTTGGTAGTCTGGAGAAACCATTTTTGAAACTAATTTATAGTATWTGTTTTTATTAATTATACCATCGGGATAAAAGAAATCATTATTCTTTTTCCAATGTTTACAAACAATTTGAAGTCSATCTTCAAATTCTACAATTACAAAATTCCTGGAAACAACATGAAGGATTATCATTAATATAATAAAAAAATATGACAAAATTGTTAATTTAAAAACATAATATCTTTAAAAGTGTGTACCTATCTTGTGTATATATATTTACAATTAATAAAYATTGAGGTTTTTTTTCACATTATTTTTTAGAGATTAACCCTTAAATGTCTGAATGCATTAGAGGAATTGATGCAAAAAAGCCAAATTTTCCAGGGATTGCAAAAAGACAATTTTTATGTTGAATTTCTTCTATTGGCCAAAACAGTTGTTCAGAAAGCTTTTCTACGATGTAAATATCCAATAAAGAAGATTTACATGGTATTTCAAACATATTATTTAACYTCAAAAATTTTCTTCCAATTAAGACTTTACAATTATTTTCATTAAGATGAGCAATATTATTTATTATTAAAATGTCACCATTGTGTAAAGTACAGCAATAATTTTTAGGATCATTAGGAATTAGAGTGAAAGCTTTGCACTTGATACTTGAATACTGTGGATTCTTTGTACTTAAGAGCAAAGGTCCCTCGTAATGTTGTTTTCCATATGTATAATCTATAGTTGAATCACAGTCACAATTCATATTAAGAGAACAAGAATTTATTTCATTTACTCTTCGACTAATTTGCTGCAGRGGCCTGTCATCTTTTCTGATCATTTTTTTAATTTTTTGCATATAGTTTTCAAACCGAAATGTAGAAAAATTATCTAATGAACCATACATTTCTTCATCTTTTGCCAAATGAACAAGAGCATATATATTATGCGAAACATAGTGAACCCSATAGATATCTTTGAAAGTTTCTACAAAATGGCGCAATAAACTATTACTATATTCCAAATACTGAGGTATATAACAATATTTATTTGTACACAGCAATCGAATGGCAACATGTAAACATAAAAAATGTTGAAATATATAATTTTTTAAATGGTTTTTCAGTGTAACAGTACCATAATATAACAAAAACATCCTTAGCTCAGTTGATTTCCACTGCCTAAACATATTTGATGCACGTGGTTTTCTTTGGAACTCCAATGGTACATAAGGTATGATATATTTTTTTATATCTGAAGAAATCGCTTCATGTTTTTTGAAAGACAGCCTTACTCCTAGACTACCTGTTAGCCATAAAGTTATAAGCTTTTTAGTGACTCCTAGGCAAATTAAATGTTGGTAGTCAAATGGTACACAAGTTACCAGTCCTAAATTTGGTATTTGAAGTAAGGAAGTTTCACCTAAATGATAGTCTTCATCCTCATAATTAGCAAATTGCTCATTAGTTCTAAGACTTGCATTACTATCAGGGAAACAAATACGATTTTCAACATATTCCCCTTCAGTCATACATTTTGTGCAGCTGGAATAACCACCGCTTCACACAAAGCATAAAGCTTTTTGCTGGGCTATCTGCCAAGAAGCCTTTAATTTTGAAACCGTATGTTTTTCCATCAAAAAATATTCCATTTATAGTCATATCAAGAATTTCATGAATAAAATCTGATAAAAAGTCATTAGAGCTTTTGTCCTTTCCATGATACAAACCAACCATAAAAACATGGTTATATTGAAAAATAGAACATAATATTGGCCATACTTGACTATAGGACGAGGATGATATTGGCAAACCATCAATATTTACCATAATTTCTATTTCACTCTTGAGAGATGCAAATTTGCTGTGTGTATTCAAAAATTGCATGATACCTTTATATACCCCAAAATGAAAATATTCACCAGGTGAAACTTCTCTTATTTTAGTTTTTCTGGGTGTTTGTAGTAATGTTCTAGCATCAAGTGGTAATGTTTCTGACACATGTGATTTAATTATTTTTAGAAGGCGAGATAATGCGTTCAATCTTATATTATTTTGAACAGCCCACTCAGACAATTCATCTTTTAAAGTTTTATTTTGTACTCCTATATTATTATCAGACTTATGATTACTCATGTTACCCATCTGTAATTCTAAATCGGTGTTGTACGATTGAGAACGTTTTACCTTTTTAGCAACACGATTGAGAACGATGTCGGCAGATCAAAGAAACAATATTTTGTACCTTAAAATCAAACGATTGAGAACGATTTTTCTAGCGACGTTGCCATTTATTGGATTTTGATGCAAATGCATCTTTTTTTGGTGTTATGAAACGTTGTTTTGTAAGTATAAAATGTACGACA